CATCGCGTTCGTGTTTAACGCGATGTTTCGCCATTTTCGATCTCGACCACCAAAGTTTCAAGTGCTTCGCATTCGTCGCCACCATCGACTTAAAAAGTATTGAACTAGGGCAACCAGCATCACATACACGACAACGACATTACGCCACTTAAGTTAGTTGCTATTCTGCTAGCCGTGCCCTCTTGGCGGCCTTGATTGCTGCTACGAGCATCGCTGTGTCGTTCTCAATCGTCCGACTGAATCCGTTGGCGTCGACAAACGCTTTGGCCTTTCGGAGCGACTCACACACAGACTCGTCCGTCTCGGGCCTTGAGACGACGCGGTCCGGATATAGGAATGGATGTTCCAGCAGTCCGTTCGGTCCTTCGATCGTCGGTCGCAGCTTTGGGTCCCACCGCAGACATGACTGCACCACGTCCGCGAGCTGCTTGTTCTTGAGCGGGGGAAAACTGATCGAGTGATTGGGGTCCGCGATCATGATGAACTTTTGAATCATGTGCGTCACCATGCCAAACGGAGTGTCTCCGTACACAATTTGGTACAAAATGCACCCAAGAGACCAAATGTCACCGGCGCGCCCGACCTGCGCCGATCCAGTCAATGTCATGCATCGGGAGTCCAAGGCTCGTATACCTTTTGGGGGGTTTCGCTCCGGCCCAGCGAACTCGCGGCAACCTCGGGGGGCATGTAATTCGCTGTTCCTTCGACTTGTTCCAAGATGACGTTGGTCGTGTCGTTCGAGATGGCCTTGGCAATCCCAAAGTCAATGAGCTTGATCGCGCCGTTCACAAACAGAAAGTTGGCCGGCTTCAAGTCCCCTGTGCATCGTCCTCCATGAAAATGGCCACCTCCAACGACCTTGTTACCGTGGATGATGCGCTTATTGTGGATGTAGTTGACGGCCTGGAGCATCTGGTGCCACACAATGCGGAGAAAGTTTTCTTCGACGACGATTTTGTTTTCCTTGAGCTCTTTCAGTTTGTTCATGAGGTCGATCTCGCCAATCTCCATCACCTGAACATGCATGCATTCGTTCGATGAGCACCACACGTGCGGACTGGGCGCGCACGACGCACCACATAGAGGACTTTTTGGTTGTAATCCATCTCGTTTGCCAACAACTTGATGATGTACGGACTCCCTTGCAGACTCTTGAGCAGGCTGATCTCGTTCTGATAACTCGTCATGCTGGCCGCGTCCATCTTTTTGAGTTTGATGCGTTTGAGAGCGTACGTTTGCATGTCTGGTCCAAGGACACGAAATACCTTGCTCGTTCCGCCCGACCCGATTTGTTTCAGACTGAAAAATGTGATTCCGTTCACCTACGCCAACACCAGTCAGCTCATCACGTGCTCGATACATGACAGCACCGTAAAGTGGTTCTTCGAGTCGACCAAGCGATCGATGACTGTCGGGGGGGGGCGTCGGTCTGGGTCGCTGGGACTGGCGGAAAAGATGTGGGATGGCGGCGATGGCGTGTTTGTCTTGCTCGTCGTGGGACTGCTTGCTTGGTGATGTCGGGGGCGCTTGCTGATTGTGTCGTCATCTCCCACCAGAGTAATCTCCATGTCGCTCTTGGTCGGGGAATCAAACAAGGCGGCCACTTCCTGGGCTGAGCTGGACGACGCCCTCGGCGGAGTTCGCGGCCTCTTGGCGGAAAGCGGCGTTTTGGGACCTCCAGTCTTGGCAGACATTGGCGTGATCAACAACGTGGTCCCCAGCGATGGCGTCGGGATGTCGGTCGATCGCGACCGCCCAAACGTCGACGAAATCGCTCCGTATTGTCTGGGCTGTGGCTCTGAATCACCAATTCGCGCAGTTTCAATGTCAACGTCACTGGCAGACATGGTGGGTTTCGCTGTCCGAAACACCTGACCTGGTTCGAGCTTGATGTCGACCACGGACGGGGGAGGTGGGATTCTGGACGACTGCCACAGCTTCACACTAGACGAACGGTCCGTCTTCGCCGCCGACTCCTACGTACGCACTCGTCAGCACAATCTTCTGCTTCATCTCGGTACTGGCGTTGGAGTCTTGGAGTTGTTGACGCTCTCCGGCTCGTCGTTTTCTTTGTCCGAGTCTTGGGACATGTAGTCCGATTTGAGCACTCGTTGCGGAAGTCCGAGATTCACTAGATGAGATTCATCGCTCGTCACACCACGTCGATGGGAATCATACCGTTGTCTAGCGTAAAACGGGGGAGCTTTTGCGTGGACCGCGTCGAGGGCACCAACCGAGACGACTGCTGCGCCAGCGGCGTCTTCAATCCTTCGGTCCCTCGGCTAACCTTGGAGACCGACCGCGGGGCCAGGCTTTCAAGCTTCTGAAGAGGGGTTTGGGTGCCTCCAGACAGTTCTCGCCGCAACTTGTGAGCACTGTGTAGCACGATGGGTGAACTCAGTGCAGGAAGATGGGGCGTGCCATTGAGCTCTTTCCAAATCCGGTCGCGATCGGTGCTGCTCAGCAGATTCTTTGCCACCGCCAGATTCAACATGTCGTGAGCCCTTTCATGCTCGTCTACAGCGCGCACGTTGACGTGAGAGAGAAGGCATGGCAACAGGTCACACGTACGTTGAGACTTTTCAAACTTGGCGTAGTACTCGAAGAACTTGGTTTGGTTGTGTGGAATTCCTTCCATGAGAGCTTGTCGCAGCATGCCCCGCTTGCGTTTTGGGTCCTTTAGCAGGTCGCCGTAGTCGAGGATGATGTCGATTTGATCGGCTCGTTGATTGCCGTTCAAACCCGGTTGCTTCAGACACGACAGCGCGCGACGGAAGATCCGTTCGACCTGATGAGGATACCGACCAAAGAGCCGCTTGCAATTGCCAAGGAGGCGCTTCCACAGGCCGGAGTCAAACGGGTTCGTCAAGAGCGCATTGGCAATGGACTTTCTTTCGTCGAGAAGGGCTGCTCCAGCTGCGTAGTCGCCATCTATGTCACTATCCCTGGTGCCGAGCATGAAGAACTCGGACATGTTCTCGTCCTTCCGCAGGACCTCTTCCATCGTCGGCCGTGCTGGATCGAGATGGGGCTTGCTTGATGTTGCTCCAGTGATCCAACTCAGAATATCTCACCATCTCCCGTATTTAAAAATTTCAAAATGATCTTGAATACAATATGAAAAGTGTGTTTGCGATATGTATTGGTGACACATTGGTGAGGCACGCCGCATTCCCCCAAACGCGGCGGCGGCGGCAACGACAGCAGATGTCCGCGCCAGAAGCATGATGCTGGTGGTTGAACGCACGAGGCAGGCTGCAACTTGAATGGATTCGTATGGTTACAAAGGGGTCATGCAAGGGTGAATCGCGCTCAGGTCTGACTTGGGGTTCTCGCGAATAAAGGGGTGGTGTGAAGCGACGAATGGGGCGTCCC